AAGGATTTGAAGAGTTGAGGTATTGTAGCAATTGCTGACATTGAGCCTGAGTTATTGGAAACTGTGAAGAAGTCTCATGTGAAATAGATTCGGAGGATGAATTGGAATTCATTGTCCCCTGAATTGCAGCTTGATTTGCACCATAAGTAGACTGATTTGGAGCATTTTTCCCTCTGAATTTATATCCTACTGGATAACCATGCAATTTGTAGCACACATCAGTGGTATGTCCAGCTATACCACAGTGACTGCATATAGGCCCACGCAATTTATAGCATACATCAGCAGTGTGTCCTAAAATGCCACAATGAGTGCATGTGGGTTTCTCCTTTCTCATTGTATTCTTGTTCTTCTCATAAGAACGCATATTAGTAGAGGAATTTCCAGCTTTAGACAAGTAAACTGTTGGATTGAAGGAGGATGATGAAGGAGAAATGATTTGCTTCTGTTTCTCTTCTTGTAAAACCAAAGCAAATACTTTGTTAATGGGAGGCATTGGATCCATCAGTAAGATCTGACCTCTGACCTGTGAAAAAGTGTCATTGAGTCCCATCAAAAATTGCAGAATGCATTCCTTCTGTTGATAATCTGAAAAAGATTTGAAACCTCCACATGTGCATTGTCCACAATTGCACTGAGGAATTGGCTTGTAATTGGATAGTTCATCCCAAAGACCTTTCAGTTTAGTGAAATAATGGTTAACAACATCTGCTCCTGTGTGAGATCTGATAAAGCCTTTTGTAATTGAAAAATACGAGGTCCATTGGCCTGCGAAAAACGATCTTGAAGATCTTTCCAAACTTCTTGAGCCGTATTGAAATAGATCACACTTGCAGCAATGTCTTTGGATATTGAATTCAACAACCATGACAGGACCATAGTGTTGCAGCGAGACCAAGCAAAGAAATTTGGATCTGCAGAATTTAAAGGTTTGTTGATGGATCCATCCACAAAACCTGCTTTGTTCTTGGCTGTGAGAGCCAAGATCATAGATCGATTCCAGGTTTGATAGTTATCTCCATCCAAGTGTTGAGAAACCAAAGCAATTCCAGGATTATCACCATTTTGTAGATGATAAGGATTATTAACTTCTTCTGAAACAGAGGAAAAAGAAGAAGAAGAAGATGAAGAAGAAGAGTTAGCGGAAGCCATTGATGCTCTAACCGAGCTCTGATACCATATTAAAAATAGAGAGAAAATCTTCTTTGATTAAATGATAAGCAGTTACAGAATCGTGTATAAGGAAAAACCTTATATACAAATTAGAATAACAAACTAACTGCTTGCATAACAAACTAACTCCTTGCATCCAGCTGGCTAACTAATTATAAAACTAATTCTAGCTTAACTAAACAGATAAATATACATCATTTAATATATTTAATAGCAACACCAAATCATGTATAAGCTTGTGCACTTCAGGTTTGATATCAGCATCAGCCATAGAAGGGCTTGACCCAGAACTATATCTAGACGACAACTATTTTCAATTCATTCCAAGTATTTCATTTACCTGTGGACCAAAGGTTGACCATAATAAAAATCAAGTATCAATCGTAAGATAGACTTGGCAAGGACAAATGAAAATGGAAATTCATGAACTTGCATTGAGAAATTGAAAATATCCTCTGTCCCGTTTGCTTTCTTCAGACTCAAGCTTTAAACTTGTTAACGAACTAGCATTTAGTGGTAATGCACTAGATTCACAAACCTTCAACTTTTGAATTTTTCCCTCCATGAACTAAAGATTCACTGCTTTGCCAAAAGACAAGGTCCTAGACAATTTAATTGCCGAAATAATGCATATGTAGTTGACACCAAGTAGTTGGAACAAGGCTTTATTAAGTTGAGTTATGGAAAAGAATGTAATGAAATGTGTATCATGTTATAAAGGGCTGGAGAACCAAAATCTAACACAAAATGCCCACAACTCAAAATAGAAGAACAAATCTCTAGTATTATTATAAAATATCTGCATATGTGAAATTTTTTATTTTTTCAATTTTATCCTCTAACATCACAACTATGTCATCTATGTCCTCTACACTTAATTCCTTCCCATTAACCTTCGTAGCCGTTAATGCTCCCTCTGTTATGTCCCTATTTTCTCTCTCTCTCTCTCTCTCTCTCCCTATTTCCTCTCCCAAATTTAGACCTGGGCGTTACAGTCTCTTCCTCTCTCCGACTTTCTCTCCCTGTTGTCTCTCTCTCTCTTTTGCAAATTCACAGCCTTTCTTTTCATGGACAGAGAAGAGCACACTGCCCCCTTCACCATCCCCCTCTCAGTCTCTCTCACACCGTTATGGACCCCCCTTCACCGTCCCCCTCTCAGTCTCTCTCTCCCCAATTTTATTTAATTACATGTATTCAATTACAAAAATCAGTTACCCATTACATATTTCAATTAGGCATCCAACAATTAATTTGTTTAATTACAAAACCGCTGAGCTTCTTCAAAATCCTATTTATAATCGCCTTTTTCTGTTAGAAAAATTCTTCGAAATTCCATCATCCTTCGTCCCTCTTTGTCATACGCCGATTGCCTATTGTGTTTTTGCATCATCAAGCTTTCCACCGCTACAGGAGCTCCAACCTCTCCCTTTGACCAGGTAACTGCCACTTGTGTTCAAATTATTACTTAAGAATTTTTGGTTTTCTTTTGGTTTGAATTATTACTCAATTAGATTTGATTTATGCTGGTGTTTTCTTCTTTGTGGTTTTGTTTTTGATCCAACGAAATCACATCGTCCTTCGCCCCTTCGCTATCAGACGCCGACTGCCTGTTGTGTTTTGGCATCTTCAAGCTTTCCACCGCTAGAGAAGCTCCAACTTCTCCCTCTGACCAGATAACTGCACTTGTGTTCAAATTATTTGTTCAAAATTTTTGGTTTTGTTTTGGTTTGAATTGCTACTGAATTAGATTTGATTTTGTGTTTTCTTCTTTGTTGTTTCGTTTTTGATTCAATTTATTATTCTATTTAGTTGCTACAACACTGGTGGAGAACATTTTTTGGTAAGTGTTTACAATTATAAATCAATTTTTTGGTAATGCATTCACAGGAATAACACTCTATGTAGTGTAGTGTAGTGTAAATGTAAGATGCCTTTTCTTCCCCATCCTTCAGTATGATTTTAGTTGCATGACTTTACAGAGCATCCTGCTACATTCATCTAATATAAGAACACTAGAATGTGAATCTACATGCGCTTTATTCTGAAAAAAAGGTACATTTGCTTGACCTTTACATGAGCAATTCAAAATTTTGGGGATTTCTCAATGATATGATGTTCTTGATAATTATATTTCTACTAGCAACGTAGTGAGGAAAATAGTTGTTCCAATTGACTATTCCCATATTTTAATCTACTTGGTGCATACAGCTTCGATTGCCATTGGAAAAGAATGGGGAATTACGTGTTGGGGTTAGACACCTTACTTGTCAACAAAGTTCCATGCCATCGTCAGTGATTTCAAGTCAGAGCATGCACCTAGGAGTGCTTGCAACCACATCTTACGCTGTAACTACTCAAACCCCTTTTGTTGTTTTCTACAAGCTGAGGTATTACTATATATTACTCCGTCTAATGAATTTGAAATGATTTTTGTGTCGCATAAATCTTACTGAATTAGTAATTTTTGTTATGGTTTCATTTTCAAAAATTCAGGACGAGTCAGTTTATTATAGGCTTGAATAAATATCTAGAAGTTGTTGACCATGGATTTGCAATTGGCATCAAATTTAATATGCGATTTGAAAGGGAAGATTCTCCAGAAAGAACGTAGTGTAAAATCTATAGGATGGTTTTATAATGTTGCTGTAAAAATTCTTTTGATTAATCAGGTTTACGGGGACTATAATTGGGGTTGAGGATATTTCTTCCCAGTGGAAAGATTCTAAATGGCGATAAATGTCCTTGACCATCTATCTTCTATTTATTTGAAATTGTGGAAGAGAAGAAAAGTAACACTCCTTATTTTGCCCAGGTTCAATGGGAGGAGCCCGCATCCATTGCAAGACCCGATAGGGTTTCTCCATGGGAGATAGAATCTTTTGCAGCTTTTGGTCCTATAAGCCTGGTTCAACCAGTGCCAGTGAAGAATAAAAGACCCCGACCACCAATTAAAATCCCAATTCTTGGTGAGCTGATCATCCCTTCGTTCTTTTAATGAGAAAGTACATTGTCTAGATGTATCATAATTTCTTTTTTTTTTTTTTTTTAATTATTTTGTATTTTTTTGCCACCTGTGTTATAGATACTGCGTCTTCAGCTGTCTGGCATTCAACTAAATTAAGTGGTATTATCGATAGACACAGGAGTGAGAATCATATTCCAACTCCCATGAACTGCAGCCGCAACGGTATTTTGAGGATGCATGTGGAGGGAGGGTAGACACCTCTTCCCATGTAACCGCTTCTTGGAAGATGAATATTGATGAAACTGAAGAGAGTGGAAGTGCTTCGGCTTGGTCTGTTCCCTCACACTATTTAACATGTCTAATTTTAAACGTGTCGGGTTGGGTAGGGTCGGTTTAACACAATAAACCATCCGTTTAACTCATTTACCTGTTTATTTAAAAATGCTATATAATTTTATAAAACTAACAAGCTAACACAAATAAATGAGATATTTAGAGATACCACACCATATTACAAAGTATAAACTACGATCCAAAATAATCAAATTTCACCAACAACCATATTACAAATCATAAATACAATCCGAAATAACAAAATTACACCAAATATCAATCATATTACAAACCACAATACCAAACAACCACAAATTCTATGATTCACAAAATCTCGTAAAAGAGATCAAATCTCCACCTCCACAAAAAATTACACACCAATACAAGAAATACTTATTTCAGTTCATCGTACACAGAAGACGATCCATCAGCACTTCCCCACATGCAGACATAGAAAATAATGAGCAGGAATGTATAGAGCCAACTTTTAATTCTCCATGGTCTACAAATGAATTGGCTTAGTTCAGATTCAGGACTGCACCGAAGAAGAATTGGGTGAAGAAATTAGCTGTGTTTGTATGGAAATGAAGATGGTCTAAAGACAATTCAGGAACCATCAATATTTGGCAAACTTCAGTAATATAAAGGCATACCAAGAATTTTTTTTCATAGAATTCGACAAGCTCCTTTGGATCGAGTTGAGTTTGATTGTAAGCCTCATTTTTATTCATCTCCTGCCAAAAATAATTCTACTGCATTACAACTCAAGAACAACAATTGTTCTGAGTGTTGTTAGTGTTCATAGTAATGCAGGTGCTCTCAAAACAAAAATAATTAGAATTTCAGTCATCAAAGAAACCAATACCATCTTTTGTGTATGAACATAGATAAATACGAAAATGCAAAGCAATTGAGAAAGCTTGATATGTCATTGCCTCCAATAACAATTGCAGGAAACAAAAATTGATTTTGAAGGAATACACCAAGATCTATATACAGATCGAACTCCACTTGGGGCGGGGCCTTACCAGGCTAGAGTTTCTCCATCCCTCTCCACTCATTTGAGAATTGTAAACTCCACATTATCTCAAAATAGCACTTAAACACCAAATACCCAACATCCTTATTCCATTATGTACCATGCCTAGTAGTCAGAGCAAGGAAGTGTCTCAATGGTCCTACATTTCAGACCTAAAAATTCAGATCTCAATTGTCGAATCATACACCATGCCTGTTTATTTGAGCATAAAAGAGTTTCAAAGGTTTTTAATTTCACATCTAAATTGTGGCAAATTATCATAACTTTTACGTGCCCAATACTCTTCAGATGCAACTTGGGAATGATAATAGAGTAAATGACATAGTGGAATAAGAAATGTAAATGATTTGTTGGAATTCAATGTCACTTTGCAGTCCAAAGACTAAACTCTGAATAAGGTTTATATCTTACCCTGCGGATCACAAGTAGAATTATGACTAGGTACATCAGTAAAGCAATTTTAGTAGCAGACGCATAGTTCTAGTTTTCAAGAAATTAGTATTTGATCAAAGTCGGCATGCACTTACTCAACAATGCCGCCTTACTCCCTAATCAGTCCTATCTAGGGCCATGTCTAACCAAGAAAAACTGATGATTCCATGGGGACCTAGAAATACGCAAGGTCATACAAAGAACAAATATAATTGCAATACCTCAATCAATGTTGCCAGTTTTGGCCAGCCTACAGTAATGTCATAGTTCTTCAAATCCAGCAAGAAGGGCTGAAATCTTTCAATGAATGGCGCACAAGCTATATCCTCCTGAAGGACACGGATATGAACTTAAGAGACCACAGACATCAAATCTTGTCAAATCAAAAAGCACAATTTTCCCTAATCTTACAATTTTTACCTCATCTAATATAATTCTCTTCACAAAATGGGATGATAATTAACTGCCACTTTTAAAAGCTTAACTCAGGAATAATGTTATACATTATGCAGATAGCAGAAGAAAGGTTTCACTCACCAGACTGAACTGACCCAGAAAAAAAGGTCCATCGTCGAATTTGGAAAGAGACGTCTCAATGTAATCAAATGCAGCACCTAAAGCAGTTCATCACAACGATTACACCAGCTTATTTTGAAATTTAAAACTTCAACATCAATTAAGAGTTCAGCTCACCAGCTTCATCACTTCCGTCTGCCTTGAAAGAAGCAATCACAGCATTATTGAACGAGTCAAGAAAATCAGGAAGACGTCAAGCGTGACGAATTAGTAGGAATGGTGGACGAGTCAACTGGCAACTGCTCGCAGCTCTCTGAGTTGCTGTCGAGCGAGAGAGAGAGAGCAGAAGAGTGGTGGAGGCGCAACAAGGGTTCAGCCGTTCAGCGTGAAAGAATTAGGATTAAGGAAGGATTATATATTTTTTGTGTGGTTGTCATTAACAAAAAAAAATTGGTTAATTTTTTTTAAATAATTATTAATTTATTATTACATTAATTTTATTTAAACTGATTATAAATAGGTTAACATGTCTCCCTCGAATATGACTCATTTTAATAAACGTGTTAAACAAGTCAACTTATTTATCACCAGAATTCGTTAAGATCTCGTCCAAATTCGTTCAATCCATATCGATACATGTTGATTAATCGTGTCGTGTTGAATTTTGTCAGACTTATTTTTAACCACTTGTAAATTCTAACTTCGGAGAATGAGGATAGGAAGAAGATAACAAGAGAATGTTTAATTTATTATACATGTGTATATATATATATAAAGAGAAAGAGAGAGTACCGTTTTGGAATGCACGTAAATCTAATGGAAGACTAATGACGGTTGAAAAAAAAAAAAAAAGGAGGGAAAGGGGGAGAAGGGGGTGGCGGGCTCTATATTTTTTTGGTTAAATTATCATTAAATTATTTTTTAAAAAAATAAATTAAAAATTTTATCAGTGACAAAAAATTATTGTCCCTACAAAAAATTATTTTTGGACGATGAACTAATATTGTCATCAGATAACACATTTGTGAAATAAATCATTAACTAAAATATTATTTAATTTATGATCACCAAGTTCGTCACCAAAAAGTAAATAACAATTAACGCCAAAATTGGTCAATGGCGAGAATTTTTTTGCAACCACATTCGGCAACAAGTATAGATTTTGTTGCCAATTTTTTTTTTTAATAATTTTTGGTGACGAACTCTAATGTTGGTTGTAGAATGTTAGTTTTTGGCGATCATTTTTCTTATTCGTCACATAAAGTCATTGCAATAAAATATTTTTCTTGTAGTGAGAATCAAGATTTTATTTCGGTGCATTGTTTCAGTCATTTAAGAAACAAAAAAGTTTCAACATTTTTGGAAACGTTTCAACCCATTTTGAAAACATAATGAAAAAAAAATTAAAATTATTTTTTTAAAACATTTGTCGAAATATACTAAAATATCTTGAAATATTCTGAAATAATTGTGCAAATGTATTGAAATATAACAAATTTTTTGAAATATTATGGAATACTTCGAAATATTAGAATTTCGATTTCATCACTGATTCGTTTTGGTCTCCTTGAAAACAGAAACGTTTCAGATATCTCAACCATTTCGAAACAATATTTTGATCTTTGGTGAGGATAGCTACTACACTGATATGTTTGTACATTAAAAGTACTAATTAACAAGATTTCAAACGGGCTTAAAAAAGGCAATTAAATGAATATAAACTTTTATAATCCAAACATATGGTTTAATATTAATGAAAGTTTTTTATTTGTGACAAATTATTTGTTTTCTGAATAATAAAAGATTAATGCTACTCTTGCTTCCCATATTTGCTTATCAACTTTTTTCACATAAACCGAGGTAAACCATGGATTAGTAGATTTCATTAATATCTAATTGGTCTAAGCTGCGACGAGCAAAAAAAAAAAAAAGCCTAGCTGTGACATGTCAATTGGTAAGAAAAATTGATCAAACAATATTATTGAGTACTAATAAATCTAAAAGTATATAACACAAAAAAAAATTAAAAAAAATTGATATTCGAGTCCAAAAAACGTGTAATTAAGAATATTTTTTGGTACTAAAAAAAAAAATTAGGAAGGACAACTCTTTTTATCATCGAAAGACAATTCTGGATGTGTGGTATCAGATGATAACCCTGACATCATGTCATCATCGTCTCTAGCCAATAAATCGAATGGCACAAGATAATCCGATATGTCATCAAGCAATACAGGAGAACCGACGTTGACTCCGATGGGTAAAGTCACGCCATCGGTGGGAACACCATAGCCATATACATACCTTGGATAAGTAAGCATTGCACTGGACATAGTGATGAAAGTTGTTGGTGGAAAAGGAGGAAGCTGAGGGTCCTGAACAAGAACTGGCTGTGCATTTGTGTTGGGAAGTAGAACTATCCCATCATTATCAATTATAACACCCCCATTATCCTCGTGTTGTTGTTCTCCATTGACTTTACCTGTTGTTTTCTCGTACATTTTGCACAAAACCCACTTATCCAACTACAAGTTCAAAAAAAAAAAAAAAGTTAGTTACTGCTAAATTATTGGTAATAAGATAGCTCAAGTAGTAATAGGAACAAGTTATAAAATTAGACGTCATGAGTTTGAATTTTGACAATTCCTTAAGATCATGTCATGAAGAATTTATCTTTCATGAATACCCTAGTCCCGGCGTGGATGATTTATCTTTGACCGGACCGAAGAAAGGATTAGTAGATGTGCACATAAATTGATCCGGACATCTCTGACTATTAAACAAAAAAAATAAAAAATAAAAAATAATTGGTTATTTTTTATAATATGCATGCAATGGTGTAAAATACAACAATTGGTTCCCATATAGGATAACTAGTTCCTACTTTATTTCATGGAAAATGATTTACTGTAGGAAGTTGATGAAAAATGTACATGAGGAGGTCGAAATCCTAAACACGGCGTATATACGACATAAACTCAACACAAAATGACCCAAAAATTCGCTTAGGTATGAATTAGACAAAAAATAAATAAATTTTATCGTAACACTAATTCGATACGACACAACTAATTCATGACGTTTAGTCATATCTCACGTGACCTTGAGGATCTATGCCCACTAATATGAAAATTTTGGCTAAAAAAAATGAGTGCTTACCTCTTTGTCATTAGGATTCGTACTTAGACGTTGATCAGCCCGTTTGCCATATCTATATTCATGCATCAGCCAGTTAGTCTTGATTGGAGGTTCAACTTCCTTTTCCTCTGCCTTTTCCTTTCCTTTTCCCTTTCCCTTTCCCTTGCCGGTGCTTCCCTTGAAGAACACTAGAGATTTCTTGCATCCAATTTCTTCACCATTGCTATAGATGGGGACATCAGCTCCCATCGGCTTCCAAAATCCCTCTTTTTGTACTGATCGGTTTGGTCGAGTACCATTCGGGTATTTCTTTATCCTCGAGGAAAAAAAATACCACACGGTTTCTCTATGTAATTTGAATATTTCTGTCATTAATTCAAAGCCAAAACATTATTATCCATATAAAATCCGAGCACATAGAAAATTCAGATAATATTATAGTTAAATTAAATATTTAATTGTAATTTAAAAATTATTTTTTATCCTTTTCGAGATGTGAATGTACTAATTGAATATTTGAATTTTGTGTTGTTAAGATATCTTTTTCAGCCAATAATGTTACTAATCCATTCAAAGTCTAATAACTAATTTAATGGCAAGATAAATATTTATTCAATTTAATAGGTGTCTGATTATGAAAAATAAAAAAATATATGAACAACAATATTCAAACCCAATATCACGTGTTTAAGTATTGTTTTATGCCAAAAAAGAAAAAGTAACAAGCTCAATGAAATTGAACAAATCTAATTTTTCAAAAGACCAATCTATAATGAAATAATTTATCACATACCAATCCACCAGTAGTTCCACGCAAACTCATGCACAAGGTATGAACAACATGTTTCATAATTAAGCCAGTAAAAACAAGATTATTCACATTCTAGAAAAAAAAAATAAATAACAATTAGCATTGAACATGAATTTTCATATTGTTGCTTTGCCCAAAAAAAAAAATTAATCACATTGTTTGGAAGCTTTTCAACTTGAATAAGTGAACCTCAACATGTAAGAGAGAGAGAGAGAAGAAGAAGGTTAGAAAGATTAACTCGAGAGTATCTGGGGACTGTAGTCATAGAAATAGAAGTCTCGAATCTGGTTTCGAGGTAAGGTTTCGTTCAAGACCTTCTTCTTCAAGTAAACGTTGATCAACTCTTCATCAGTTGGACAAAAACGATAACCAGGTGGCAATGAGTTAAAATAAACGTCGTTAGAATCTTCTATGTTACCATTATTTTCCATTGCAGTGTACTTCTGTTTCTTTGTTGTTGAACCTCAAGCACACTATTTATAAGGATAAAAGTACATGGGAGTGAGAGATAGATTTTCTAGGGATTGGTAATAATAATGAAGTGATAAAAAGACCAATATTTTCTAACAAGGATTTATAATAGTACTTGTTTGTATCGATTACTAATTTGAGTAGGAATTGGAGTTTGAAGTAGTTAGAGTCCAACTTGGATATTACTTCTTTATTCCATACAACTTCTGGATAAATTGTAGGTGAATATCTATTGATTCAAAACAGGATTAATTAATATATATCTGTTAGTAAATCTAATCTTTATTTCAAAGACTTCACTTCAGTACCCAAAAAAAAAAATTGGTACCTCAAACTTTCCTTATTTCAATTCAATTCGTCTATTTTCAACGGACATCAATTTGAAAATTGTTAGCCTCATAACTCAGTCAATCGACAACAGAAGCTGTAAGCTCATCTTAGCCAGCAGAGAAGGAATGGAATGACAGCAAAAGGGAAGCAGGATTGATCTCTTCATAAATACTCTTTTATTGCAGTAGAGAGCAATGAAGCATCTAACTCACCTCTTCTTCCAACTTATCAAAGGAGTTGAAAAGGACCCAATCTGCTTTCTCAATGTTAGTGAACTGACTCAGTATGTTCAGGAACATTGGGGGGAAGCGTCCTATAGTAGGAAGGACCCATTGATGGCATATTCGGAATTACAGGCGCTTGAATATAATTGAGCCCGCTGTTGCTTGCATGGTCTTGGTAGTAGAGAGTTTGGTAGTTACTGTGACTTTGATTCCTTTCGAGGCCAGACGTTTAGAAAATTGGACAATTGGATTTATGTGGCCTTGTCCATGATATGCAAGCACCACAACATGTGCTTTGTAAGCTTTTTCTGTCTTACACAAAACTGAAACAAACAAAAATAAATCCTCAACAAAGGCTGTCTACACTGCACGTACATCGATGGGTCCCATTACCCCCAATTACCTGCCTTCAACCTTGTTTTTGTATATAACTAACTCATCGTGTACACACAACCAAATATCAATTTAGGTCCTATACTTCTAATGCTACCAAAGTCGAGCCATATGCACATAGTAATTCCACAACAATCATAATGTTAGTTTCCAATCGAGAGTGCTAGTACAGCTGGATTGAATACATTCAAACCAACAAATTGTTAGCCTCAACAGAAACCAATGCACTATGAAATGACCTCTATAGATGCCAAAAACAATCCGATCAAATCTCGTGTTCTCATAAACCTCAAAACCGAACTTTCACATTTATTTCGCATTGGAAAAAAAAAAAAAAAACTAAGCTCAATGTTCACAGATATGGTCTGCACCTAAAAAGATCTGGACATAAATTACGGAAATAAAAAAGGAACAGAAGACATTCGGAATTCCAATACTTCAGGCAGTGCCAACAGAAAATTTCCACTTAAGATGAGCAGTTTATTTCTACTTCTAATAAGGTGTGTTCCCACCGTTTGAAGGTGAGGTCATGGTCAAGAGAATATCAGTCACAGCAGTCATGGCGCTCAAAGCTGCTTTCAGAACATCCTGTGAGCATCCTGGTTTCACAATCATCCGCACCTGGAAAATGAATAAACAAAAGTAGAGAATATGAAATTAACACAAGGCAAAGACAGATAAAGAGCATAAAATAGGAAACAACACGAAAAACAATCAATAACAAGAGTAAACTAATCATGTTAAGGTTATACAACTAGCACACTACAGTCAACAACCTTGGAAAAAGGTATGACTTCCTCATGGAACTATAAAGTTCTCAAGTTGGCTAACATATTTACCATGAAATCTACTGATGCAACTCAGGCTAACTGGACCTCCCCCTACTTACACTTTGGTAACTTGATCTAGAACAACTACATCAGATGAGTGAGACCCTCAAACTACAGAAGTCCATCCTTCGCAACTGAGACATCTTAAACTGCGGTTCTTCATTTTCCATATCTCAGATTGGCAGAATGAAACCCAAGGCTTATCTAATTCAACCCCCCCCCCCCCCCCCTCTTCTTTCTAGCATAGATCTGTGGCCCACCCAATGAACGGAGTATGAAGAAAATCTATCACTGAGCTCTTTCTCTCGCTCAAGTTTTGACTGGTATCAGAAACATTTACACACAAACTACAACTACTAATATCAGAAGAAAATATAGTCAATTTGAGTTTAACAGAATTTGAACAAGCAAAAGACAAATTCATGCAAACAACGATGACAAAGGATGATGTCTCCCATACAATGCTGAAATGCATGACGTAATAATGCCAGGAAATATCTCCCCAGTTCTTGTCTGGAGAATGAACTTGAACGTTTGTTAAAACTGAATTACTATTGCTTAGAGCAACACTATTGTATTTCTCCTTCAAATTGTTGGTATAACTCAGTCCACTTCAAACATGGTCCAAGTTCACTGGCTTGAAATCGGCATATCTTATTTCTTACACAAAAATGGAGCATATACCACATTTAACAATGAAAAATGGAGATATCACTCTCAATGGAAGACGCAAAATGCAGTAGTACTTGCAACGCAGAATCACAATAACTCATAAAATTTGTTTAAAAGGAAAAAAAAAATCTATATAATAAGATAGCTCACAAGTTGAATTTTATCTTCTACATATTTTCCCTCTTAAAAACATCACATCACCAATTTCTATCATATGCCCAATTATTTTAATATTTGATTAATTTATAGTTTAATATAATTTTTATTTTAAATATTATCCATACACGATAGTATACATATGTTGAGAAATTTTTTTTGGATTACATATTTTGAAAAAAAATTGTCGATATTTTTAAGAAAATAATGGATAAACATAGATTTTAAATGATGTAATCAAATAAATGAAAGAAATAAAAATTATTATTTAATATAGTGAGATAGATATTTTTTGACGTTCAAATTTTATGTTTCATCATGCCTTTAGGCATGGGTTATGACTAGTCATTTAATATGGCTAATTTCAGCACCTTGTTGAGATATTCTTGCAGTGCCTTGATACGACCCATGTAATCCTGGTCTTCAACACACAGAGTTACAGCCTTGGCATCAGCACCTGTACCATCAAACTGAAG